CAAGGACATTGTTCAGAAGGGCTGAAAAATAAATAAAAAAATTTTCCTCAATACCACAGATAAAAAGGATTACTTTTTAATTAACGCATTAAATGCAAAACCTTATAAGTGACAAAGTGATTGTAATGCAATTGTACTGCAGCTGCCATTGGTCTCTGTCAACTATAAGTTATATGGTTTCACTACAATTTATGTAGACGATAATTTAATTAATATGTACAAATATTACATAAGTATACTTGCATTTATTGTAGATGAAAACATATTTTTCAAAAAATTATTGAAAATAATTAAATTATTGTAATTTAATTAAAAGTAGTCAAAATTAATGAATTTGTTATTTGTCTCAGATACTTTCTTATTGTAGAAGTTTTTTATTTTTTAAATTGTAATATATATTACTTTTGCTTTGTTTTACTTGATATATTAATTATTTTTGAAATATTTCTATTAGTTTTCTATTTAAAATTTGACAGCTTCAGAAAAATTTTGCTATTAATAAACTGCTTTCAATGTTAGATAACAGAATCCAATGTTTTCAGATATGATGTCATTTAAATATAGTAATCGAATGAAAAGAAAAATCCTTATTGCCCACAAATAATGCTTTTGTTTCAAGTAAGGAGGAAATTGAAAGTAATATTTTGATATTATAAATATGAAAACTGTTCAAAATGTTATGGATGTTGAATATCCTTTCATGGCAGATTTCAAATTACGTGAAAATTAAACTTCCTTTACCGTAAATTTTTCAGTCCTTGATGGGTGAATACAGTGATATCTCTCGAAATGGACACAGTTTCTGGAAAAGATATTGCACTTCGACAATATTTATAAAACACGATTTTTTTTATCATCAAATGAAGGAACTGGGTATCACTCCTAAACCAACAAAAGTTTATTGTTGTTAAGTGTTCGCTTATAAGAGTTTTCACTGTTTTTGTATTTGAAATTTATTCAACATGTTTAATTAAAATCCTTACTTGAAAATATTTAAAAAATAAAAGTGTGTTAAATTTAAAGCAGTTTTAAGTTCTAAGTAAAATAAGTGATTGTTAGAAAATTATACGTTTATAAATTTCTAAAAATAAATACTGAAAAAAGAAACAAATGGCTTAATAATTTATCTTATAAAAACAAGAATCCTTTAAAAAGGCGTGAGTATGAAAAATATGCTAATTTACAAGAAACCAACTGCAAATAATTAATGAGTCCTTCAAAAAGGCAAGCACATAATGTTGGTAATGCTAACAAATTAAAGAAATACCCCAAAATCTTTTGTAAAAAGTATTTTGAAAGGTTTTTGATGAACTGAAATAGAGTCAAGTAAATAAAAAATATACTCATTTATTTTAAAAAGAGTTAAAATTATAAAAAAACATTTTTAGGGTAAACTATGAAGATTTTTAATCATATACATGGAAAAATAATTTTTTTTTGGAAAAGATTTCTATGGACTACATTATTACAGACATCGTAATAAATAGAGTAAACAAATTAATTAAAAAACTTTGTTATTAAGTCATTAACACTAATTACCAATTATTTTTATTTTTACTTATTAATCATTTACAACACTTAAGTAAAACTTTAAAGTCATTTTAATTATATTTTATGTTATATAATATATAATATTTTTCTTAAAGTAACATTATTTTAAGATTAACATAAAAAATTTCGTAGAAGGAAAGACGTTCGTAAAAGAAAATACTTAAAACATTGAAAATTGATTACAAATCTTCGGTTATTTGGTTTAAGTTTATTTAACCAAATATTAGTGATTAGATTTGACACCTCAAATTTTGAGATAAAATCAGGAATGTCGTTAATTCAATAAAAAATATTTCTTTAAGATTTAATTAGTTACAATCTATAAAACATCTGTCTTCTGTTTCTTCCCACAAGGTACAAATAATCTACTTTACTCTATTTGTGTCAGATATCTTTTATTTCATTTGTGTTGTGTTGCTTTTTATTCACAATTTTATATAAAATCTAATTTTGTGAAAAGATTTTTGTATATTTTGTATTCTTATTGTAAACCGAGATATTTGCGCAGTGCAATAAATTATTGTAGTCAAGTCAATGCCGTGAAGACTGTTTTCGTATCCAGGTTGTTAAGTGAAACCACACCATTGGTTAACTCTCACTGGAATAATAAAAATTGTTTACAAAATCTTGTGTGAATACTCGGAAATCAAAGTTCAGATCGTTTTCTATAATTTACAGTTTATGTGTTCAAATTTATAATAAAATATGTGTGATAAGTAAGTCTTCTTTTGTTCCACAGGAGAATACTAAACAAGTTATGATGCATTTGGGTATATATATCATTATATACATATCCAAAATTTGGCAAATAAAAGTTGGTTTTAAACATTTAAATATGAAATCTAAAATGTAGTTGAGAAAAATTAATTTAGTTTTGAATAAATAAACTAACTTAATTCAATTATAAATTTTATGAACACGGGTCCCCATAGCGTATGAGTGATATTTTTCTACAAGTTAATAAGTAAGTACATTTTTTCCGATTATATTTATTATTGCATCAATTTTATGTGATAATTTATTATAATTCGTATAATTTAAATTTTAAAATTAAAGTGTTTTAAGAATTGATAAAATTATTGAGAATATTTTATTACCACATATGTACTTAAATTAAGTAAATAGTGTAGTTACAAGGAATTTTAATTGATATTGCAGCCTAAAAGCAGGAAGCATGTAAAGAAGAATATAACTTGATTAAAAATACTGTAAATGGAATTGTTTTAATTAATTTTCATTAATTTGAGTGTTGAAAGTATGCAGCACAGCAGTGATTATTCTGGTTGATTAAATTTTAATTTTGTGATTTTTGAAATGAGAATAAATAAAAGAAGGTGTTTAATTTGAATACCTTAAATGTAAGTTTAATTTAAGTGTATTTGATTTAAATATGAATTTATTGAGTAAGATAAAGCTTTAAAATACACGACACTGAATACATAATTTATGTAGCTGAATTCTACTAAGTGAAATATATTTTATATAACAAAATATACTAGTATAAAAATTTAAAATATGTAAATATTTTGAAATGAATATAAGAAATACTTCTATATTACTCAACAGCTATTTAACTATCATATCAGAAAAAATAATGTACTTATATGTAAATGAAAAATTATTTTAAATTTAAAACTATTTTGTGAATGAATATTGCAGGTAATATTTGAAGTATCATTCAAATATTTTCCTTTCGTTTTTTTTATCATTATAAATAAA